TAGTTTATTTATGGTTGAAGGTAAGTACTTTTTGTAAAATGTGATAGTCATGTATCGTCTGCTAGTAATTTATTTTCAGTTAAAACAATCATCTGTCTTTAAAAACCACATAAGCTAGATTTTTCTGATTTATAAATATCCATTGTTAAGTACTCCTCCTTCTAAGATGGTATTGAGTAATAATGAGGTGTAATTCAAATGGATAATCCTGTTATTGAAATGTTTCGAAAAATCGTAAAATTTAGATATGTATTAATATTTTTTAAAAGTGGGTGTTGGGACAATATAATTTTTCGAAATTAAAAAACTTATGTCTCTACCTACTAGTGTTGATGTATACGGCCTTGATTGTATATAATAAAGATTAGATAAATTAGTTAAAACAATATAGATATGTAGCTTACAGGGGTCGTGGTTGGGTCTTAAACGTTCTAATAATAAAACTACTAAGGTGGTCAATAAATTCTCAAACATTTAAAATGGATATTCTCGGTAGTGTTCAACCACTAATACCCATATATATTTTTTTGTATGGAGATACAATCACCAATTCCAAACGTGAAATTAAATTACATACTAATATTTAGTTCTGACATAGTTGTTCTTTAAAAATAGAAACCCTTATCTATTGATTAGATCTTAATCTTAGTGTGTGCGAATCATTTTTTTTATATGTAAATATATCAACATGATTAAATTTTAAAAGGAAAAAATATATTCACCATTCAACATGAAAAATTTGTCGAAAAGCCAGGCCGAAGGGCCAGGTATTCTGGAGTAGATCACCGAATATTTTTCATCTAATAGACATGTTAGTTCGATTATAAAAGAAATAAATCTTTAATATTTGATACATTTGGAACGCTTACCGAAGTAGCTTTTCAATTCTATTTTATTTTGAAACTTATCGGTATCTGTATTACCGGTAATAATAATTATCTGAGTTGCAAACGTCTTATAATATGTTAATACTCAGCCTTAAACTTTAACGCCTCTAACCTAAAACCCTCCAAACTCTAGACTTATTTAAAATTAAAATATCCCATATCCCAACCTATTAATTGTTGAAATTATAACAATTTAATTTTAAAGGCACCCCTTTGTTGTTTAGACTACAACATATAAACCTACTTCCCACCTCCCCATATTATTTTCAACAACCCCCAAGAATTTCTACGAACCCTAAAGTCTTCTTCTCTCAGTAGGTTACAATATCAGAACAAGGCTCGAGCAAGAGAACGACGGCCGCCATCTTGAATTCTTACACCTAACATTTATTAATAATTATACAAACTTAATCCCTCTTATCTTACACCTATTACGCTCAATGTCTAGGCCAAATGGAGCAGGCCGCGGCGCATGAGTTCATTCCGTGTATTGTGGGTTGCGATACCTTGGAATGTTAGACCGTGTATTGCGGGTTGCGGTGTATCCAGTCGGCCTCAAGCGCCCCTACCTCTACTGATAGTGTATACGTAGATGGCGAAGTAAATGGTAAAAAGTATACATTGTTGGTAGATACTGGAGTAACTAGGACCATTATACGACCAACAACTATAAATACCCGTAAGAGACTTCTACCAACAAGATCGCGACTGCCAACTTCCTGGTGAAAGTGCTAGCATCCATGGGGAAAACCAAATTAAATTAGGAATTGGTACAGAAAAGTTCAATCACACTGTTATTGGCGCTGATATCAAAGAAGATGTTATACTTGGAATGGATGTAATGAACTTACATGGTTTCCAGTTAGACTTTAAGAACAGATTAATCAAAGTTATTGCCAAAGGGGTATTCCTGCATACATATGGGAACAGTAACGTGCCAGTATCTGTACAGGAAGACACGGTGATACCTGTTATAGTACCACGGTTTCAAGAAATTGTGAAAGAAGAAACACCTGTCATGATGGAACCTTTGAACCACGATGAAGAGGTTGGACAAGGTATTTATGATCAAAAAGGGGTTGGTCACGCCTGCTAAAGAAATTCCAGTTCGTCTCATAAACGTTAATGATCACCAATTAACATCAAAAAAGAGACCAGAATCGAAACTTGTGTACCAGTCACTTCCATAATTCGTCTCAGACAATAACTTCTGATAATTCCAATGACAAATTCAAGCAAATAATTTCAGTTGCTGGTCAATCTTTAAATCAATTAGAGAAAAAGAAAATAAAGGAATTTCTTCGACTATATAGTGACATTTTTTTACCAAAAGGAGGAAAAACAGGAAGAACTTCTGTTGTAAAACACAAAATTGACGCTGGTGACGCCAGGCCGATTCGTCAATCAGCTCGAAGATTACCAAAGGGCAAGTGAAAGGAAGCTGAAAGGATTATTTGGGAAATGGAGGAAGACAGAGTGATAGAACCTTCTACTAGTCCATGGGTCTCTCAGAGTGTACACATCTATAAAAATTCAATGCTAAACCATGATAAACCCATCGAATTGTTTTTATAAGAGATGTTTGTTCTAACTTAGATAGCAATTGCGTAGTTTTAAGATCTTGTAGAAAAACTATATAACTATAAGATTTAAATATTTTTTGAAAATTTGGGTACTAAGTCAAGAATCTACTTAAAAATAAATTTGCGTTCTCATAAACTGCGTTTTAAAGTATTTATCTTTTAAAAGCGTTTCTTAGAAACAATCTTCTTATTCTTCTTCTCATTTTAGTTTAATGACTTCCACCATAACGGTATTTAGTTAGAGCAGAAAAATTAGCTTATTGATAGAATGCTTGTTTTGCTCTAGGCAATACAACACCCTTAAAACTTGATGAAGTCAAAATAATAATACATTCACCATCACACCATGTGATAGTGTAAATTCATCAAATTTAAAAATATTATTACACTATTCTTGATATAAAATAAATAAACACATTAAGACAAAATTCATTTATCGATGGCCATTCTTATTAAAGATTTTCTTCAAAAACACATACCGCCATTCCAATTTTGACACCACGGTGTCAGAATCAGAAGTCCCTAGAAACAATCTTTTGTTACTGCTATATTTAAAAACCATTTATTTTAAAAACTAAAATTCTTTTTATACTTTAAAAAACTGGTTTTTACATAATTAAAGTATATCTTCACTTTATTACTATATTATAAATCGCTTCCATGCTTCAATACCAAAATTACTGGACAATAATCTATTTTAATTGTCGCTTTCCTCAGAAATGTTACGAATTGTTTGTTTGAACACTGACAGATAACCTAATATTTAAAAAATAACAATAATATCTGATTTAATATAAATAATATTACAATTTTATTTATTAAATACCTACCACTATTAATTATATTTCCCACAATACATTTTGATGATACCTGTAATTCTTTCTTAAACAATAATCTCTACAGTTCATCAAATTTCTAGAGGTGTTCGACGCCCAGACAGAGAACGCGCTACGTGTGACTAAGATAGCTATTGTACAGTCTGCTAAACAAGTTATTTTAAATAGTTTTTAATATTTTTAGGTAATTAAATTTTAAAAGTGTGTAATTGTTTAGGGATTAAATTGGTCTGATTGGACTTTCTTAGAACGTTTTTAAAAGCAGCTAAAGGTAGTATGTAGAATTGAAAATAATTATTATGCCATAAAAGGTGTTTTGGAATTCCTTCAACCTTTTGAAATTGAGTCAAAAAATACAAATTTTATAGGATAGCGGAAAATACCTATAATTTTTTTGTAGGCCTTTGTAAATCGTGGAAATAGTTTATATTTTATTTCTACCTTATTAAGGAAAATGGTACCTATTATTAATAACGGTTGTTTCTGAAACATTACTAAAATTTTCGAAATTTTGTTTTTCTACAAAATAATAAACTATACTATTTAGAAAAAAATTTATTTCTCTTATAATTTTATAAAAAATAACAGGGGAATATTTACATTTCTTGATCTATTAAACAAAACGATAAATTATCTCGACGAATGACACCATGTTCTAGTACGGAAGCTAGCTTTACATTTTTGTTGGTGGTTTCATGGGTTTCATATCAATTTTTTGTAATTGTAGTTTACACGTACATATACCTCTTAACACTTGTTTGCTTTATTAAAAAAGTGTGTTGTTGTGATTTACGTCGAAATAAGTCAAAAACAACTTGAAACCCCATATAAAATCAAAAAGGAGAAACGGAAAAAAATTGAGCCTGTAAATGAACACAACTCAGAAACAAAAATAGCTATCTAATAAAAAAATAAAATTTGATTCTTGTGCAGCTTCATCTATATCATTAACTGTTTTTGGTTTTTTAATGGTTTTTCTTGGTGATGAAAACTCCGATATCTCACGGTTATCGATTCTTTTTTTCTCTCCAGAAATGCGGACGACAGTGTTTTTAGATACTCCTGTGGCTGCAGCAACACGATCATTTACATTTTTAAATGGTATTGAAGGTGAATTAAAGTTTCCTTCTCTTCTCATAAACTCTATAACATTGGCTATTATTTCGCGAGATTGACTGTTAATCACGCGGCCTCTTAATTTGCTATTAAACTCCATACTTAGGTTCTATTAAACTGTAATGAGCAAAAAACACAAACGAAAATAAAAGAAATGTTTTAGCGAAATTTACATCTGACATTTACGTCTGAATGAAATAGTGAAATACTTGATGCGCAGAGTGTACTTTCATTGCGTAAATCCGTCGGGATGCCTGTCAGTAGTGCTTTCTCTGTCTAGCCGTCGAAAGCCTCTAGAAATTTGATGAACTGTACTAGTATAATAATTTTACCTAAGAAAATTATTTGCATTTTTTAAAAATCTTGTGATCTACTAAAAAAAAACTAAAATAAAGAAATATTAAAAATTTGTCACCATTCTTAAAAAATGAAAAGTCAAGATAAGAAATTAACAAAATAAAAATCGTTTCAACTTTATCATCAATTCCTTTGCTTTATTTTGAATATCTTCGATGAAAGTGTTGCAAAGAAGTTCATTTTTATATTAAAAATACACTAAAAATAATTATAAATAAGCCAATAAATAAAATAAATAATAAATACAAAATTTTTAGTACGATTTTTTTCTTCAACGAACACAACACTTTATTCACTTAAATATTTAATATTTAATGTCTAAACGCTCTATGAGTGCTTCCGCTTGATTTAAGTCCCATCACTGCTGCAAATAACGCAAAGAAAAATCCTGCGAGTCCTGTAGCTCCAGTTAGAAGTACCAATCCTCCCAGGAGTACGGGTATCAATGTGAAAAACTTGAGCTTGTATGCTAGAAGTAGAGGTAGAATGAATCTCTTGAATTTCTTTCTGTATTTGCCTCCTTTCTTTCCACCTACGTCTCGACTGGTATCAGCAAATTCTGAAAAAGTAATTCACTTTTAGTTTTGTTGACAGATAACTAAGTATATTAAAAAAAAGACAATGAATATTAATGTGTGAAAAGTAAAGCTTTTAAAATATTCTTGTCATAAAACTGTCAATATTTCAGATCAGAATAGAAGTTAACTGTTATTTTATCCATCAACTCCATTGTGTTGACGCACTGATGAATCAGGTGACATAACCTTAAATTATTAATTATTATTAGACACTAAGAAAAGATCGCTTAAAATTCTTTGCTCAAAATACTCAATATGAAAGAAGAAGGTTATATTGATCCATTTTTCTAGTAGGTAACATTTAAAACAAGATTGCAAAATGCTCAAATGTCAAATGTAAGTCGTTCTTAAGTAATTTTTATCAGATAAAAATCAAGATTGAAGCAGTTTGGCCATTTATTAGTCACGTAATCGATCAACAGTACACCATTTTCTTGAATAGAGAATGCCTAATGTAAGATTGTGTGATTGTGTTTGCCAAAGCCAAGATAATGTAGTATCCAAATAAGAATGTATGTTGGTAGTCGGTGGTAGAGATAAGATTCAGTCTATATCTCAGAAACTATAAGTCGCAAAATTTTTAGAATTAAACTCTGGATAAGAGACAGCGTGGAAATTATAAAGTAAAGAATAAAAACTAACACCGCCCAAAGTTTAAATATAAAACACAACCTCTTACATAACAATCCTAGCTCTGCGTCATAACACAACAAATAATAAGACAGTGACAGATTACAAATGACATGATAGTTGTTGGACAGAACACATTTGTTGATAGATTTTGTATGTTTTTAAAACCATTAGTACTTCATATTATATTACAACTATAATCTAAATAAAACATTATTATACAGCTATTATATTACTATTACAATATTATTATAATACTACTATTACAATATTATTATAATACTACTATTACAATACTAATATAATACTTTTATATATATACAGAGAGCATCATAAGTCTTACCCCCCTGACTAACTCGTTACTGGAGTCTTGTTAGGAAAATCGCCTAAACAGGTTGATTTTTGATTTCTACAATGTACATTTTTGTACGATTATTTTACCCTTAATTTCATTCCTTACTGGAGGGGAGCAACCCTTTCGAAAAATTTAAATGGCATGGGGGTGAGTGATAGCTCATTTGAAAGGGAGTTTTATTCTCTATTCAACCGTGCAAAAAAAATTTAAAATTTGCTTTATTACGTGTTGATTTATTAATGTTTAAAAATAACAAAACCTCATAAAATAGGAAAGCAACTAAACTAACAGTGACCTTCTAATGGCAAAAAGTCTTACTTCACGTCTGAACTAAAACCGAAATCATGCAGGGCCGAATTTTAATTCTAACGATGAGTGCGCTACGTTAATTTCCGTTATTCTGAAACAACAATTAGTCGAGAATTAATGAAGCAAATTTCAAAATTTTTTACAGGGTTGAATAGAGAATAAAACCCTCTTTCAAATGAGCTATCACAGAGTATATTTCAATTTTGATAACACCATTTTCCGTTAATTGTTGTTAGTTCTAATGTAAATATTTATTGTCATATACTAGTTTTCACTTAAATAGAAATATAAATTTAAAATAATTTAATGGAGGTGGATTAGAGTCATGACTTTCAGATCGAAGGATTTCGGGTTCGAATCCTGCCGGTGACATTTTTTTTTTTTATTGAAATTAATATTACTTTTAATGAATAGGTAGGTAGTGCTGGGAAACAGTCACAAATCCTACACAAAACACGAAACTAATAACCATAGTAGTTGATGCCGGTGACACATAAATAATAATAATAATTATAATACAATAAAACGAAAAGGATCGCGTTCTTATTGAGATATTATTCATTGTCGGATATTTAGTGGGTAAATCAATACTGACTCTTCTGGAAAAGTAAAGAAACTTCAGATTTTAAGAGAGCTCTAGATAATTCCTTTAAGAACGCTGTCCATTTTAAAATACATAATAAATAAAAAAGTTCAATTATTCTGTTTATTTATTGAATAGCTTGAGGTGAAATTTAAAAGCAGATTTGCCATTTCTTCAAGCAGCCACGTCCAAGCAATTATGTCTTTATTAAAATAGGAAGCATCATATCAGGAAGAAGGTACTTGTTAAACAAAAAAAAAACCTTTGTGTCTTAAGTTAATCGCCGTACATGGTCTGCTTTCCATTTGACTAATTCCACTTGATAATTCCTGCATACATTTCTAGACAATCTAATAAACTAGTAAAACGATGGATAATTAGCTTGCTGGACGGATGGTATTAAATCATAATTTGTTCGGATGCTTCCTGGGAAAAAACTGTTATATATTTTTTTAATTAAGGTTGTAAAGTAACGAATAAATTTATGACAGCCTAAATATCCGAAACAATAAGTGATTGCGGTTAAAATTGTTTTAAAATAGTAATTAACAGGAAAACCACTATCAACTTCTTTCATTCGAAATTAAATTCACTTCTTAAATTCAATGATAAAGAGAGAAAAACCAATCAGGTTGCGTTCCCTTTTGGTTTCACGCAAAATTTAACTGTCCAATCATAATAGCATAATATCCAATAGAAATGTACATCTTGCTTAGACTAATAAGACTACTCTTTTATTTGTTTAAAGAAATAAGATGCGATAGATACTTATTTATTCCATTCTAAAACCTGTAGATCCTCTTAAATGATACGAAATGGTTTCGGAATTAATATTTTTGTAGGCAGGTATCTTTCAGAAGAAGGATATTGGTCAATCAGTAATGCAGAAAGTGCTCATACTAATTATTCCATTAATAGCATTTTTCTACACCCGTATTATAATAATGCACTTATATGCCCATAATCCGTTTCATAATGATACCCATTATGATACAGATTTTTCATTACGATACAGATTTTTCATTACGATACAGATTTTTCATTACCATACAGATTTTTCATTACGATACAGATTTTTAATCAATAGAAACCTACAATTTTTCAATCAAGCATGCTGTTTGACGTTTGTCCTAGGTTCCTATGTATTTGTTTTAGTTGTCAAAACGTATTAAATTTTGGTAGATAACTAAACTTCGTTAATTATAATATTAAAATGTCTGATATCAGCGATATAGAAGACTCCTCCACACATATCGGAGAAAGCAGAAAATACAGTACAAAATATTTTGCCGCAAAAATCTAGGGAAATACCAATACCCGAAGTAATACCATTAATTACAATTTTGTAGAATTTTTTATAGAAATACACGAGTAATTATTGTTATTGTGTTCAATACCAATATGAATATAATATTTATAGTTCTTGATTATTTATCGGGTGTAGAAAAAATAGCGTATGCAACTCTCATGTAATGGTTATTAATACACTCGCATAAACCATACGAAACTCGCCTTTGGCTCGTTTCGTATCCCGGTTAATGCTCGTGTATTAATAACCATCATTACATGATCGTTGCATAATATACTATTTCGTACAATCACTATTTTTGAAATCGGCTTTCTAACATGTCAGTTTGCAGTCAAAAGTGTCACTTTTAAGTAATAACGTTAAATGAGATGTTTTTAAGGCACTATTATACACTGTTAGGCATTTCAAACAAAATTATGGCCCGTAGGTTATGATATAGCAACACTGTGGGTGCGGTGATTTGTGAAGGCCAATAATATAGATAGTTGTATAGATTGATCAAAATAAACATAAGCTTACTATGATATCGCGGGGTTCTGCCGTAAGCTAGCGTTTGTTAGAAGAGTGCGCGTCACAGTCTGTTGAGCGTCGCGCATGTCAGAAGAAATCTAACAATATTAATATTATGGGAACGATTTATTAGAGTCAGCAGAGTAAGGCAGTCCAAATCAATCTTAGTTTAATTTGAACGCACTCGTTCAGTTGATTATACAATAGATAGATGCTCAACCCGCCCTAATTGAGTTCGATCCAGACTTCATTGGAAACTGGAGTCGAGAATTTCTATTTCTTGCTTAAGAGTCCTAATAAGGACGAAACCGGTCCAAGAATGACTATCTCCTTAGTGGGCAAAATCAAAGGTAGAGTGTTGAAAATATTTTCTATCTCTGCTATTTTCTTTCGACGTATTTCAATACCTGGTGAGGTATTAGCCAAAGGAGAAGTTGTTGTCAACAGAGAAACGGTCGCACATATATTGTTGTGACTATGGCTTTGAGAATTATTTGATGTATTATACAATAGATTGTCAAGTGAAATGAGGTTAGGATAATTTGTGTTATAATTAAAGTAATAAAATGTTGAAATTTTCTTCTGAAGAGAATGAAATATTAATTTACTTGGTAAAGGAGCATTCCGCATTATATCAAGCAAAAAACGGAAGTAAAGACAATATTGTTAAAAATATTGCTTTATTTTGGTCAATACTACTTAAAAACTAACTACTACTTAAAAACTAACAATTCTTCCTTGCCGTCTTTGTCTTCTTTGTCTTCTTTGTCTTCTTTGTCTTCTTTGTCTTCTTTGTCTTCTTTGTCTTCTTTGTCTTCTTTGTCTTCTTTGTCTTCTTTGTCTTCTTTGTCTTCTTTGTCTTCTTTGTCTTCTCTGTCTTCTTTGTCTTCTTTGTCTTCTTTGTCTTCTTTGTCTTCTTTGTCTTCTTTGTCTTCTTTGTCTTCTTTGTCTTCTTTGTCTTCTTTGTCTTCTTTGTCTTCTTTGTCTTCTTTGTCTTCTTTGTCTTCTTTGTCTTCTTTGTCTTCTTTGTCTTCTTTGTCTTCTTTGTCTTCTTTGTCTTCTTTGTCTTCTTTGTCTTCTTTGTCTTCTTTGTCTTCTTTGTCTTCTTTGTCTTCTTTGTCTTCTTTGTCTTCTTTGTCTTCTTTGTCTTCTTTGTCTTCTTTGTCTTCTTTGTCTTCTTTGTCTTCTTTGTCTTCTTTGTCTTCTTTGTCTTCTTTGTCTTCTTTGTCTTCTTTGTCTTCTTTGTCTTCTTTGTCTTCTTTGTCTTCTTTGTCTTCTTTGTCTT